CAGTAAACAGAGAAAGAACGATCTTATTATTCCTGCCTCTCACTCTAATCGTCTTTCTACCCCCACCATTGCCATCAGCGGTCCATTCTAGATGTCGATCGGTGCCACCCGTTTCATAGTGCTATCAGTTAGCTCCTTGGAGCTCTATTCTTGAAAAGAAACGTATACGAAAATCTAGGGAAATGTTACAGTATACGTTACGTTTACTATAGTATTTCCCTAGACTTTCGTATACGTTTCTTTTCAAGAATAGAGCCCCTGAACAGTGGTAGCGCTGCATAGCACTGGTAGTGAACTCCCTGAACGCACCCATACTAGGCCTGTTCTTTTTGACTGAACTTTTGCACCAGTTCATCTTTCTTCCTTTTTTCTCCAGGAGGAAAGAAGAGGAAGAAAGATGAACTGGTGCAAAAGTTCAGCCAAAAAGAACAGGCCTACTGTGGTATAGGCACAGTAGAGACCCTCTAATCAGAGTCGCAACACGAGGAACAGCCAATTTTGATTGGTCCGTCATTTTTCAGCAATTCCCGTCAATATTCGAATATCAATATTGTAGGAATGGATGATGTACGTATCGATACGCTAAAAATCGTTTGCAAATTAATCTATTTTGTGAAAAATCAATTTTTTCAACCAAAACAGGTATAGAATGACAGAAATAGCGTTAATAGCATCTCCCCGAACGCATCTATTATACGATTGAAGTAATGCTTACTAATAGCGTTTGCACCAACCTGGGGGTCGATTCTGTATCTTCAATCAAGGTGAAAATTACAAAAATGAACCAATTTACTTGGTGTTGACCAATGAAATTATCAGTATTCTAGTAAATTCGCTCACTTTTGTAATTTTCACCTCGTTTCAAGATACAGGATCGGTCCCCTGGGTTGGATTAATGGCGTTTTGTGCTCTCCTATTGGTAGAGCGGGTGACGTCAACCAATAGGAAAGATTAATCCAATCTAGGTTGGTGCAAACCCGATCGGGCCGAAAACGCTATAAAAAATTATGTTTTATCTTTATTATAATAAGAAAAAAGAGTAACTTATTAAATAATCATAATTGACATATAGAAAATAAATAGAACTTTAAAAAGACACCGAGTTTTCACATATGTTATATTTTATTGCTTTATTGATCTGTCAATTGTACTCGTTACAATCTTAAACTTCGTCGCTCACCATTCTTGCTTATAATAATAATAATAATAAAAAAAAAGGGTAGTAGTTACTACATGCTTAGCGCCCCTAACGGCGAGAAAACTAAACTTAAACAGGGCTTACATGAAAATTTAAACATATGATAATACAAAGGCGCAAACAACATATTTTATTAATTTTCTTATAATGAAACTATATAAATATGTTATTTAACCTCGCAGAGATATGCATTTTTCATTGGTTGGTCCAACAATTATCGCCCATAATGCTCGACGTTCAACATCACGCGGAAATATTTTCATTATATAGCTAGCCTTTGGCTGCAAAATTATTGCAAAATGGGGCTGCACACCCAACCATTTTGTAATAATTTTTAATAATGTTCTAAAAGTCGTACTATAGAAAGACGTATCTTAGGGTGCCGTCACATGCGGCGTGACCTACGTAAGCGTAACTTGCGTATTCTAGTAATTTACTAGAATACGTTATTTTTTATTTACTAGAATACGCCATTCTGAAAGCCGGCATTCACATTGGGCGTATTTCGCGGAAGATTAGAGAAATGCGAAACTAATGCAACCAATTGCTGATTAGAATTTCTGTTGTAGACTCTAAAGAAATGCTAAACGAATTTACGATTGGTTTTCGTAACCTACGCAACTCGAAAAGTACGTCTTATGGGGAACCGACACTTTTCCATCGCGTATATATGAGTGGATGATCGAATAAATTATTAAAATTGGAAAATTTTGTGAGACCACTCTTAAGACTCAATTTCACGCAGCGAGTTAAGGGTTCTCTACATAGAAGTCGTAGACGGTCGTGGAGAGGAAACCAACCAATCACAATTAAATATAAGGAGAATACTCGATTGGAATTGGTCAGTTTCCTACGACTTAATACTCCACGACCGTCTACGACTTCTATGTAGAGGACCCTTAAAAGCTGGCGTTTTACCCCCTCTCCATCAATTTTTGCCAAAATGGCGAATCTAGCGAATAAACGCTCAAAGTTCGACACAGTTTAACTTTCAGCGAATAAAGCTAGCGTTTTGCTCCCACTCCATTAATTTTCGCTAAAATAACGAATCTATTATTTTGACTACTACATCCAACTTTTAACGAATTGAAGCAACGCTAAAATTTAAATTATTTTAATTAAAAATGTATAAGTAAAAAAAGAAATTATGGCTGAAGGGTTTAATCAATTGACAACACCCGAAATACAAACGCAGTTAGTATATACTATATACATATAATAAACAAAATTACAGGTTAAACTGCTCTTTGTTTCTTATTTATTTAGGTTAGATAGATTAATTTTGTTATATTGTGTTAATAATTATGTTTCTTAACTTGTAGGAAATTCTGTTGCCTTCGTACACTTGTGGTGTGTGTGAAACTATTTGTATTAAACAAGAAATACTTTGTCACTCTTGTTTGGAGGGATATGACAACTGCTATATAGATGACAATTTATATTTTTATCTTCAAAGCGGTGAACATTAGTAACATTTTTTCATTATTATATATTTTATAAGTAATATTACAAGTAACATGGATG